TTTGTGTACATAGAATTTTATCCAAAATCAAGCTTCAATTTTTTTAATTAAATTTTAAAATAGGCTTTAAATTGATATCTCTATTTTATTTTTGAGAAAATCATTGTATTATGAAAAAAGATTCTTATGAGTCTAAACAAAAGTTTTTTTTAAGGCGATTAATTGTATAACATTTTAAACTAAATTACTTAATTCAATCAATGTATTCTCTACAATACATGTGCGACGAATTGTTTTGCGACGAATTGTCGTGCGACGAATTGATCGTGCGACGAATTGTCGTGCGACGAATTGATCGTGCGACGAATTGTCGTGCGACGAATTGTACGGTCACCCGATTTTTAACATATAAATATGAATGATTTTCTATGTAAAATCATTCAATTTATTGAATCAAATATTAATCTTTTCTTTTTATATTTTAGAATGATTTCGACGATACAAAATTATACAATTCAAATCAATACAACACAATAAAAAAATGTAGGTATCAGTTTTTATTTTTTTTCTGTATTGGATCATACCAGAGATGTCCATCGCGGCTGAAAATCTGCCGCTGCCGCGCCGCGGACTTAGAAAAAAAAGCTGCAGCACCGCAGCCGCACCGCGACGGTTTATAAAAAAATGCTGCCGCGCCGCGATGACTTATAAAAAAACGTTGCCACGCCGCTGCCGCGATGAATTATAAAATAAACGTGCCGCCGTCGCGCCGCTGCCGCGGTGGTTTACAAAAAAGTGTTTCTAATTTCACTGCTGCGACTATATTTGACCAGAGATATTGGTACTAGTCCATCAGATTCACTCAGTCTAGGGGTGTTTCATTTGTAAACCCTGAAATTGTATTAAATTCATGCAGTTTTTCAATGTTCCCCAAAAAATCCTGCCGCGCCGCTGCCGCGATGGTCTTTTAAAAAACCTGCCGCTGCCGCGGTGATTTTTTAAAAAACCTGCCGCCACCGCCATCGCGGCAGCTGCAGCGGCAGCGCCGCGATGGACATCTCTGGATCATACAGAGGGTGGTAAGTTCTCTTGTGATCTTTTATATTCATGTTTTTCTTTTCCTGTTAAAGACGCCATCATTCACCATCAATGGGTGCGTTAATTTTTTTTTGTTTTTCTTTTCTTCGTTGAGATGAGAATAGTTAGGGTGAGTGAGGTACGTTGAGATTAAGGTTTCGCTTTATAAGAAGGACTTCCGGGTAGTCCCTAAAAGCCTGGCCAGGAACTGTCTTGGTGTCCATGGCACACGATCGGGCCCCCAGACTCACTGACATATGACATCGGATGGGTGCATGTGGATGATGTGGGTCTTCCCGCGCGTGCATGAGCTTTACGCTCGCCACGACTTCACCAGGATGGTTCCTGGTCGCGCGCGCGCAAACAGTATAGAATAGCTATGAAATCATTTTTTCATTCAATCACGATTTATTTGAAAGAGAAAGAGAACAAAAAAGAAAAGAAAATTCATCATCGTACTGAGTTCATTCGATATTAAACTTTTGTACTCGATGATTTCCGAAATCGACGACATAGAGATTACCATGTCGATCAAATGATAAACCTATGGGAACATTTAGTTGATTCGACTGTGCTCCTTTACCGTTTCCACCAACAATCACACTTCCCTGTGTGGCTCCTTTTGGCCAACGCATGATTCGATGATTGTCTCGATCAACCACATAGACAGTATCCAATTGATCGACAACGACTGCTTGAGGACAATCTAATTGTGTAAGACTATTTCCTTGTCTTTGATCACCGGCTACGATAATGCCTTGTTTTGCACCTTCTTCCCATTTCATGATACGACAATTTCCAGAATCAGACACATAAACTGAATGATCTCGATCGACAAATACGCAGTGGGGATAGTAGAGTTGATCGGGACGATTTCCATCTCCATTGCCACCTGCAACCACTGTTCCTTTAGTGTCACCAATTTTATATCGTCTCACTTCATGTTTTCTACCATCAACGACATAGAGATAACCATTGTCGTCCATTGTCAAACCGAAGCAAGAGACATTCGAAATAATTGTTTCTCCACGAGTACCATTTCGACGAGGCCATCGAACTACTCTTCTATTCCCGTAATCGCTGATGATGAGACTATCACTCTCTTTGTCGATAATTACATCAAATGGGGTATTTAATTGATGAGCCCCATTTCCAAATCCATTTCCACCAGCAACTACTTTTCCATTCGTTGCACCAGATTTCCATTTCACAATACGGTGATTTTCACAATCAGCGACATAAATCGTCTGATCATCGTCGACGTACAAACCATATGGAGAGTTGAGTTGATTGGTTTCACTGCCATTCCCATTTCCTCCAGCAACAGTGATACCATTCTGTGACCATTTTGCATTCGGATGAATATCAATGGAACTTGCACGCATTGGTACTAAAATGAAACAAAAGTATGAAGTAAAAATATCATTTTCATTTAAATGACTCATTCTCATTTGTTTTAAACAGTATTGAACTGCTCTCAATTACAAAAGCTTTTTACTTATGAACTTGATTAGAATCTGGCTTTTCTCAATGTTGAAAACAAATATTGTTGACGTTTTCAAATATTTTGAAACTAACTAAAATTTAACTGGTAATGTGAAAAATTGCGATAGACTCGGATTTTTATCGTGAATGAAATTTTCTTTTCTATCGAATTTTTTCAACATATTTACTGATTTTGTTAGTTCAAGTTTGAAATATATTTAGATTTTGCATGTCATCAATTTAATAATCATTTCATTTTTTTTGTTTGGATTTTACAATAAAATGAGTTATAATAGAATTTGAACGTAAGAAAAAACAATTTTGTTATCAGTTGATAGGAAATGGTGTATGATTTATGTTCGTCACACATTTCTGAGTGAAATGAGACAAAATAAATGTGCAACTTTTATATGAATTCGTTAAAAACATCTTGCTAGACAATAATGATAGTTAATTATACTTAACTACCATGCATAAGACGTTTTTGACTGATTCATATAAATAAATTACAAATCTTTTGTGTAAGTATTTTTCTTTCTTATTCCATTTACGAATGTGTGACAAATATAAATCATACACCATTCGAAAGTATTTTATGCCATGAATTTTGCATCATACTTATTATTGAGTAATTTATTCCTGAATCTCAAACAAACAAGTAGTTTGTAGAAAGGCTAATCGAAGTGCTAAATAAGATAAGTTTAGATAAAATAATACGTAAGTTCGAATTTTAGTAGATAAGAAGAACTCAAAAACAAATCTTTCCCAAGTTCAAGACTATTTGAAGAATCTGTCATGTTCATTACTCTACATTATAGCACAAACAATAATCTATATACGAATCAATCAAATCTTTTATTTTGAATTCATTTCTAATGTATTACAAATTTTCAACTTAATTGGGTGTGGGTGTATGGGCATGATTTTTTAAACAATAGGAGTTTCGATCACGGATCGATTTCGATCTTTCTACAATTAAATATTTTCGCTTCTTTACAAGACAATACGAATCTCCTATGAAAATCTTGATCTAAAATGATTGCAAGCTTATGTTTTGTAGGTTATTCAATAGGTGTAAATTTTTGGAGATTCTCACAAAAAAGCAAGGATCGTAAAAGATTTCATCATGATTTTAGCTATTCTCAATAGCAATAAGTGTGAAGATTTCTTCTTCAAATTGTTATTGTATCGCATTCTGCACTGATTAAATCTTAGAAGAAAGTTTTTTTTTGTTTGTCTAGAATTTTCTAAAGCTTGATATTGATACTGATTTGAGCTGTAGACTAGAAACAATACTTCCATGATTATATCTTGAATGGACAGTTACAGAACCGATGAAGTTAATAAAAAATGTCATGCAGTTTTATAAAGTCCCTAAAAATAATTGAAATAATTTCATCCTTCTCAATTTATCTATGAAGAATCTAGCTATAATCGAGATCTTGATTAAATTTAATACTATTTAATCAATTTTCATTTTTATTACATGTAATGTCATGTATTTTTAATAGGTTTAATGTCTCAGTGCAATTGGAAGAAAGTACATTTTAGTATTATTTCTTTTCTTCCATCGACAAAAAACAAATACATGTAAAACGGTATGAGATCTTTAATTATGTGTCAAACAACTCGAAGATGAGAGTCAGAAACAGAACAATACTTTCTGCTTTTTAAATCAAAGAGATTGTGAGACATAAAATTCGAGTAGATAATTTTATTTTCTACTTATAGATGATGACATAAAGCTATATGAAATGCTTATTAATACTATAGATTTATTTCAATTAAATCAAACTTCTCAAATATCTCTTATACCCATGGAAATAATCAGTCTGATCAGCTACCTTGCTTCGTTTTTTTGCATATAAACTTCAGTCTTATTTTAGAGCAAGTATAGTCAACATTTGCTCTATATTTGATATTATATAAAATCCTATTCATTATTTTTCATTCTTCTATATTAATAATATAAATAACAATTAGTTTTAATTTTAATTTTTCTATGTTGGTAGTATACATAACAGTTAGTTTTATTGCTTTTATTTTCTATATCAATAATATAAGAATCTTAATTCTCATTTCTTGTTTTTCTAAATTGGCAGTTTAGAAAATTTTATTTATTATTTTTGATTTTTTATATTGATAAGATAGAAAATCTCAATTTTAATTTTTGATATCTCTATAACGATAATATAGAAAATCTTATTTTTGAATTCTTATTGATTTTAATTGATAATATAAATATCAGTTAGTTTTAATTCTTATTTTTCTATATTATCGATATAGAAAAATACAAAATAAAAGCTAAGATTTTCTATGTTATCAATATAGAAAATAAAAAATAAATAGGATTTACTATTTTATCACTACAGAAAAATGAGGAATACAAGTAACCGTTTTGTACTCTATTAATATAGAAAGGTGAAAAATAAAAATAACCATTTTCTACACTATTAGTATAGAAAAAGAAGAAAAAAACTGACGTAAACTATTCGAGTCTTTTTCCCAGGTACTGTTCTTCATCGGAAAGCTGATGGAATCAACTATTCTCGAATAAGGAAAAGAAACAGAACATACCATACACGATCAGATACCAGCAGGCAAGATCTACATTATGTACTGTGTATGTTTCTTTTTTTGGATCTTATATGATCTGACAAGAAGGATCCAGTCTGTCCAAATCAGTGTCTTAATCATTGAGTCTTGTAAGATTATTTGCTGACACCGCACAATCAAAATCTGAGAACATCTTGAAAAAAAATGAACATAAAAGATATTGTTCGATATTGTAACAAGATCATAGAAAAAACCTTATAGGAGTAAGACCTCATTGGATCTTGCAGGATCTAACATCTGTTTTTTTCGGGGTGGGTGTGAGTGTGGCTATAGATGAATCATTTACCCACCCATCATGGCAAGAATTTGAACATACAATTTCACCAATATAAAATCGGAAAATCTAATAAAAAAGTTACTTTTCCATAAAGATCATAAAAAACAGATCAGTTGTTAATTATGAATTGATTTGGAAATTCGCCAATAATAGTAAAACTGTATTCTGACTTTAGATAGCCTATTATCCAAAAATATGCAACACTATTTACAAAAAACCAAAAATCTCGCTTTCAATTTTGCAACTTATGTCCACATGGTTTCACACTATAGACAAGCCAAGTGAAATTGAAATATAAATACTGACATAATTGAAACAAGAAAAGAACATATCCTATTGTTCGAATGACAGGAAAATATATTTATTTACCAACGCTACTTATCTGGATAATCTTGCATTTCAAGTTTTTCAACAGTAGCCGAGAAAGTGTAAATTAAAGTAAAATAGACTTATATCTATTCAATAACTTCAGCGAATTGCCACCTTGACGTATGTAGATTAGGTTTCGTTTTTAGATTCTTTTCTCCTAAGTTCTTAGAACTAAATAATTGATACAGTTGAGTTTATTTGAAAAAAATTATTTACGTTAATCTTGAAAAATTTTCAATATAATCGTATGAAATGATCACTCGTAAAATCCGAACAAGGCTCATAGCTTCAGATTGAAGTAACAACGAATTTAGCTTATTTAGAAAATAAACAAATGTTAATCAAAACTAAATGGGTTGAAATCAATCAATTAAAATGAAATTCTTAAAGATAATTAAAATTCAAATAAACTAATATAATTCTGTTTTTAGAAATATAACTGATTTCAATCATTATTTTTATAGAAGATTCGAAAAAAAAATCAAATTTTCTTCAGGTGATTTGACTCTTATTTTAATCATATTAAGGGAGGCCCCCTCAGAAAATCCAATTTTTCGGAGACGAGTCGAAATTGAAGTTTTATCGTAGGAAGATGCATCGAAATCTCCTCTTTCAGAACATCTATGGTTTATCAAAAAATGAATTGATTTTGGCGAACTTATCGTCTAAAACTTGGCTCCTACTGTCATATTTTTCGAGAAATTCTCAGAGGTTTTTTCCAAGCTTTTTCGATTTTTTAGGCTGTTTTCTCTTTGCATCAGCATCTCGTAAAGTTTTTGCTATACTAATCACTAAGAGACTATGAATACTTTATATTGAGATCACATTTTTATAGCCTGTCTTGAACATGGATATATAAATCAGGTGATTTTCGGGAAAAATCGATTTCTAATACTTATTTTCCTTTTTTCTCAAAACGAATTTTTTCGAACATACCGTTTACGCGAGCAAGGATTTTTCAATAACGACTCCATAAATAAGGGATAATTTTTTTGTTGTTAAATAGAGGACAGTTAGGGCTAGGTCATAATAGAGTCCGATTTTTGAATTTCTCTTTTGCTGAAATAAAAAAGTTAGATATTTCATTTTTGTTAGCAGGGTTTTTGGGTACAATTTCGTGAATTTTGCGAAAAAGAGTTTTTAAAAATCAAACAAAGGGAAATTCAAAAATCGGGCTCTATTACGATCTAGTCCCAAGGGTGCTCTACAATCTGAAAACCGCGCGGGCTTGTTAGCTCGTATCCTTATTGTGAAATCCTTGCCCGCGTAAACGCTAATGAATTAACTAGAACTCGTGCATTTCTTTGAGATTTGGGTGGATATTTTAACCATAAGCTATTCTAATCAAGACTAACATTCTCGAAAATTTTGGTTGAAATCGGATGAAAAATAACAAAGTTGGTTTCTGAAGGGGGGCCCTTAAAGTAAAAAACCATATCAAATGTTAAAACTAAAAAAATCCGAGATTTCTTCAAAATTTAAACGAATTGAAAGAAAAAGAAATGTGGATCGTTGCCACTCATTAATTTCTCTTTTTTGACTGCTGGGGATAGTTTATAATTATTTTGCAGTGTATTCGTGTTTAAATGCAGATGCATACATTTCTTTCATTAGATCATAGCATCAAACTTCGAAATA